AACATCAAAAAATACACGACGAAAAAACATTCCTAATGATCAACAGAAAAAGATAAAATATTAGTCACTATAAATCAATGAACTAACGCTACAAAAACCTCATAAAAAAACACCAAAAATAAAACAATAAATCAAACGTTATTTACTATACAAAATTTACCTACTGCTGCAGCACCATAACAACCTAATGTAATTTTTATAAAAGGACGAAAAACTAAAACAAAAGGACGAATAATATATCTTATAGTTTCAGCTAAACACACTAATGGACAAATATAACTTGGTGTGCCTACAGGTATAAATGAACTAAAAAACAAATTAATATTAGAAAATACACGACGAAAAAACAAGGATATAAACATTATAAAAACAACAAAAATCAAGAAACATACGAACATAAAAGGACTATAACAATAAGGAAACCGATACAACAAAAACAATAACATTACCAAAAACAAAGACAACAAATAATAATAAGAAAACAAACAAACAAAATACTTGTAAATTAAATTCAGCACCCTAAATAAGCGATTATATATAATCATAATACCAACTAGACACAAAAATGTATAAAGGAGACATGAACCCCCCAGTTTAATATATTAACTTACTAGTTTCCCTAAATAACATTTAACTTCAGCTCTTCAAACTAACGCTTTAACTATAAGCTAAGAGAAATTTAATGGATAACTAATCACCTTTACAACCAAAATGTAAAATGCATTAAACACCACATTAAATTACATAAAAAATACACCAAAATAACACCAAACCAACATGTAAAACAAAAAATTTAAAAACCCATAAAATCTATAACCACATGTTTCTACCTGTTCTTTACGAATCAATAAAAATCCACACATTACTAAAGGTATTAACCCACTAAAAAACAAATAAAATAACCAAAACAACATATAAATAATTTTACTTAGCGAAAACATAACTAATGATACTTCACAAAAAAACTGTATAGTAGTTGGAAAAGAACATAAAGATAATAAACTAAAACAGACGATATATAATAAACACTTACCACTAATCCTAGACTTTAACAATACCCAATTACGTGTTTTTGAAATATCATAAAAACACCACAACAAACCAAATACTAAACCAGCACTCAACCCGTGACCTAAACAGTATAAAAACACTATAGAAATTTTATCCCAACCAATTAAATAAAATCCTACAAACGGAACTACAATATGAGCTAATCTTAAAAAAGCCAATCAACGCTTACCATCCAACTCTGTAGAGGAACAACAAAAAAAACCTAAACAAAACAGTACACACAAAAATAAATAAAACAAAAATCCACAATCAAATAAAAAGAAACAACAACGATAAACACCTAACAACCCTAACTTCATGATATACCCTCTCAAAAAAATAGAAACAATTCTAGTTGCTTCAGCATGAACAATAGGCAACCAAGTATGAAATGGAACTAAAGGAACCTTTGTAAAAAACACAAAACACAAAATAACATAAATGATAACATTATACCCTCTTTCAACAGATCAAGAACCAATAATAAAACTACCTTTAATATAAGAAATATATAGAAGTATAAGAATTAAAGGCAAACTAGTAACCAACAAATATCTAGCAAAATATCAACCCGCTAAAAAACGCTCAGAATAAGGAGACTCCTTAAATATCAAATAAAGAAGAGGAAGCATAGATAATTCATATAAACATCAAAACAATACAGAATGATTGATACAAAAACACAAACAACTAAAAATCAAACTAATAAACAACCAAAAACGAACACTTTTAGATAAATAGTATACAAATGAAAATTGAGAACACAACCCCAATAATAAAACAAGCAATAATAAATAAAATGAAATAGAATCGAAAACAAACACCTCACTTCCTATAAGCAATAAACTATCAAAAATAAAACTTTTACCACTAAATAACAATAATAATAAAACTACAAAAGAAAAAACTAAAAAGAAACCAACTCCAAAGAATTTGTACACTCTCATACTCGAGTTAAAACAACTAAACCAACAACTATTTCAATAGTAGAAACAACCATTAAAACAACAAAAACCATATGACTATCCATACTAGAAAAAATTAAACAAAATAGTATTAACAAAACATTAAAGTTCTCTAATATAATTAAACAATGCAAGAACCGACTAAAAGACAAAAAAAA